CCCTCGGGTCCAGCTGGAGCTTCCTCTGCTTCAGTTTGTGCCCGTTGCCAGGCGCTGCCGTGTCCTCGGACAGGAGCTCGTGCTCTGCTGGGGGGAAGAGGGGGGCAGCTGGTCCCCAGCTCGTGGTCATGGGTGGCCGCAGCTGGGTGAGCTAAAACACCCTCCTGAATCTGGAAGAGGGGTTGTGAGAGGCTTCCCAGTAGAGCTCACTGGGCTGGGACCACTGGTCCAAGCCGCGGCTGGAGAGCAGTGCCCCGGGGAGGACAATGTCCTAGGCTTATCGAGTGGTTTGGGTTGGAAGGGACCTTCAGAAGCCATCCAGTTCAAGCCCCCTGTAACGAGCAGGGACATCTTCAACTGGATTGGGTTGCTCAGAGCTCCATCCAACCTGACCTTGAATGTTCCCAGTGATGGGGCATCGACCACCTCTCTGGGCAGATGTCCCATGGGGAAGCTCGGCAGGGCTGTGACCTGCTCTCCTGGTGTCCCACGAGAGGCTTGGTAGAGCAGTGACCTGCTCTCCTGGTGTCTCATGGAGAGGCTCGGCAGGGCTGTGACCTGCTCTCCTGGTGTCCCATGGAGAGGCTCGGCAGGGCTGTGACCTGCTCTCCTGGTGTCCCACGAGAGGCTTGGTAGAGCAGTGACCTGCTCTCCTGGTGTCTCATGGAGAGGCTCGGCAGGGCCGGGGGCCGCGCCCGTGGCTGGGCTCAGCAGGGCTGCAACCTGCTCTCCTGGTGTCCCATGGTCACCATCCCTCTAACCGACAGGCGGTTTTCTCCCACCAGCTCCAGGAGACGAAGACTGTGAGCAAGCCATGATAGACTTTGTGGCGTACCAGAACATCCCCGTCAGAAAGCTGAAGCGCCTGCAGCAAATCCTGGAGCGCTCGCCGAAGAAGCAGGCGCTGGGGACCAGGGCGGCCATCCAGGAGAAGTTCAGGGCTTTCCTCACCCAACTCAAAGAGGGCCCCTACGAGGTCGCCAAGGAGCTGCTGGACGCGCTGCGAGCCGCCAAGCTGCACTCCATCGAGGAGAAGGTCCGCGCGCGCTTCCTCCTGTACTGAGAACACAAACGGAACTTTTGGGGTGGTTCTTGGGTTTGTATTTTTTTTCTTTCTTCCGTGGCTTGATTAATTTATTAATCTTTCCAAACCTAACTTGAAGTGCGCCGTTAAGATGAGCGATGGGAGGGTCAATATTTTATCAGAAGAGAAACGTGCAGCCAGAGTCATTTTTTCTGGGGAAGAACCCAGCTCCCCCTTTTCAAACAACTGCCTGGCTTTGGTTTAAACTGAGCATTTTTGGTTTTGTTGGGGGGTATTTTTAGTTTTTTAACAGTATTTCCCACAGAGGATTCGCCTGCGTTTTCTTGTCACGCTTCTGTGTTGAGAAAGGAGTTTTCTGCTGAGGCACGTTGGGTGCGGGGTGCCCCCGAAGTCACTGGTACAGCTGGCTTTAAATTTATTTCTGAACTACCTGTTTTTGTACTGTGTGTGAGAGATGTTTTCTAAAGAAAAAAACCAAAGAAGTTATTTTATTATACAGTTCTCTGTCACCAGCGTCCTTTCCTAGTCTCATTCGGAGGAGAAAGGTGGTGTTGTGAGTCCCAGACCATCGTCTTCTGACTCCGCTTACCCTTGCTTGCTTTTGGCACGTGCTTCACCCCATGAACACACAACATCAGCCATCACGACAGGGTGACCATGAGCCAGCAGCGTGCCCTGGCTGCCCAGAAGGGCAATGGGATCCTGGGGTGCATGAGGAGGAGTGTGGGCAGCAGGGCGAGGGAGGTTCTCCTCCCCCTCTGCTCTGCCCTGGGGAGGCCCCATCTGCAGTGCTGGGTCCAGTGCTGGGCTCCCCAGTTCAAGA